CTGCTGCTGCTGCATCGTCGACTGCGAGAGGCCCGCGTGTCGCCTCGTGGGCGGGCCCGGGCCTCGACGAGTCGAGCGAGGACTCTGCGGCCGACGGCGCCGGGTTGAACAGAGTCCGCGTGGCCGTCGACCTGCTGCTGCGGGGTGACGTCCGGCTGCCGCCCAAAGCCCACCCACCTGCGGCGCGTGCAGAGCCGCACGTCGCTGTGTGGGTGCAGACTGTGACAAGCGCGGGCCAGAGCGGTGTTCTGAGGTATAGCAACGCGGGAGGTGCGAATGACGTGTCGTGAGCGTGGTGTGTGGTCGCATCTAGCGGTTTGCGCACGAGACGCCGCCGACAGCGCCGGCAGCGCGCTCGAGCGCCGCAGTGCTGCGAGCCGTCTGCTTGAAGACTGGAGGTGCCGTTGGCCCGCACGCCGCTGCGATGCTCGCCTTGAAGGAGCTTTCGCGCAGCGACTTGAGCTCCTTCAATGCGCCAGAGAAGAAGGGCGGATCGGTATGAGTAAGCAAGGTGTCGAGCTCGGTCATGCTCAGCCCAAAGCGGTCGCAGAACGAGTGCTGTGGGTTGCTCGGCAGCGGCTCGAGCGCATACCAGACACATTCCACGTAGCCAAACGCCGTGGGATCAGCGAGGACGCTCACCATCTCGAGAGGAGTGATCCTGAGAGTAGCAAAGGCAGGGCCAGCCGTTCGGCGAGCGTTAGAGAGGCGGGCGGCTGCGAAAGGCTGCTGTGCGGCCGCGCGTCGCAGGGACGGGCGCGGTGGGTGCTGCTCACGTGTCCGTCGCACGAGCGGCGCTGCGGGTCGGCATGGCGAGCTGTGTGGTCGTTGCGAGGAGAGGCTATGGACGCGGTGAAGTCTGGCGCGGAAGAGCCGCCAAGAAAGAGAAAAAACACCAAAAAACGCAAAATGATCCCTCCCGCGCGTCGGTTCCCCATCCCCAGACATGGTGTCGGTATGGGGAGTGGGTGCGGGAGGGTTCAATCAGTTGTTACGTAGACCGCGCCAGGCTGGTGTGAAGTCGCCCATACATGTAAAAAATAATCGTGGGTAATAGAAGGGGGAAAAAAGAGAAAGTGATGGTGGATGGGAAGTGGATTGGTGTGGTGTGGAAATGGAGGTGGGATAGAAGGGGGTGTTGAGAGAGAGATGGATGGGAGGATGAAATTTATCTAGAGAATGTGAAGGGGGATGGGATGGGAAGTGGAATGGTGTGGAGATGGAGGTGGGATGGTATATCGGAAACCAGGCATTTTTGTTTCTTTTGGGGGGGGACATGTCCTATCCTGGACAGCTGGACCGGTGCCTCGATGTCACCGCTCGAGCAAATCAGCCTCATCTCGTCCGACGAGGAGAGCGAGGCTCCGCCACCAGCGGCCGCAAGGGCAAAGCGGAGCGCGGCGGCGCGGGCGGCGCCCTCCTCTCCTCCACCCTCCCGAAAGGCACGCAAGACCGACGCCCGCAAGGATCCGGCACCCAACGCCGAGAACCCGCCGGCCGCGCCGGCCGCGGCCGCGGCACGCCCTGCGCCGTCGGCCAGCCAGCGCGCGTCCTACCTCCAGGCGCGCGAGGCAAAGCTCAAGGCGTGCCGCTTCAACCTCTCCGCCCTCCCCGCCGGCAAGCGCGTGCACGACACCTCGCGAACCATCAAGAAGCCGACGCCGGCGTGGGCGGGCTTCTGGCCGGCGCTGCGCGAGTTCATGCAAAACACGATCGACCACCTCGACCTGGCGCCGCGCGGCCGGCTGCATCCGGCGCTGTCGCTGCGCGTCGAGCGGCCGGCCGGCCAGCGCGGCACCCTCGCCTCCATCGCCTTTCGTTGCGGCGACGAGCCGGTCTGCGCCATCGAGGTGGAGGAGGACGAGCTGCGGATCCTGCAGCACTACACCTTCCCGCTGCACCCGCGTGCGCTCGAGACGGGCGTGCCCGACGCTGGCAAGGGCGGCGACGCGACCGCGGGCGGCTTTGGCGACGGCTTCAAGACGGCGGCGGCGGCGCTGCTCGGCCAGCCCGCCTGCCGCTCCATCAGCTGGACCTTTGAGACGGCAGAGGGGCGCACCGTGCGCTGGGACTTTGTCGGCGCCGAGCGGGCCGCGGTCGGCAACTTTCGCGCGTCGCGGGTGCTTGAGGTTCACGTCACTGCCGACGCCGCGCCGGCCGGCGCGGCATCGAGCGCGGGCGGCGCGGCCTACGTGATGAGGCAGCGCGTCCGCGTCGGCGGCATCGGCCGCGCGTTCCTCGCCGAGGCGGCGCCGCGGCTGCAGGT